CTGAACACAGAAATTTGGATTTGTAAAACTTAGCACAAGAGCGTTAGAGTTTCACAAGACAAAAGAGCTTCTTCTCCAGCTCACCTGATAAAACCAGAGTCCTCCTGGTCAAGGCCCTTATTTAACAACTCAAATGACACTACGCTCAAAGGATAGTAATCTTACAGCCGGATCCGCCTGGCTCTTTCAGTTTTCCCTCTTGCTGTTTACTGGACTTGAGATGAATTAGCATGGAACGCATGGTTCCTACAGGTGACATCTATAAGGCATCGCTGACTGCATGACAGCTGTCATCTGCAGCTGTAGACTGCCCTTCTGCTAGCAGCATGTACTTGGCTCCGCGACCCGCTTGGATCACAGACATCTGATGCAAAGGCCAGCCACTCCTCACTGACTTCAGCTGACACTGGCACCAAACTCTGCGTGCAACTGGAGAGATGCCATGTGATTGAAAGTGGCGGTTCCATTTCCGTAAATGCAATGGATTGTCCAGGCCGTCCGCTCCCCCCTGCATCGGGCTGTGTTCTTTCAAGCCATTTCAGATGCTTGGAACCACATTTGTCCAGTGTAAACATTTCAAAACCACCACTGACAACTGCAGTGTCGTGTACCTGTGGTAAACGTTAGTGGCAGAACTGTCTGCAAGATCCTCCTTATGACTCCTCTCGGTGACAAGCCACTGCAAAAGCAAAACCAGCCCATTGGATACAGAATGATAAAAACATGTAAATCACTTGTCAAACTGTTGAAAGAAGCTAGGCAAAGGCCTGAACATCAGCTCTGTGTGACCATTATTTAAGTACAGTCTTCAGTTCTGTCTGTGCTTCAGGATGGAGACTCTGACCTGTGTGGCTACTGCAGCAGCCACCTGCTGCTTCCCTAGCTAAGCCAGTTGGCCTCCACCTTCCCCTCTCCCACTTACTTTCTCTAGTGCTGCTTTGTGCTGAAGGAACATTTAGTTTACTGCACTTGATCTGTAAATGGACTTTGATTCTTTGTAATTTTAGGGGGTTAAATTTGGTGGTTAATTTAAAAAAAAGAAAAAAAAAAAAAAGAGCAAAAAAACCCCTCAATGTTGCCTTTACATCACATACAAATAACTGTGTTTCTCTTTTCTTGAAGGGTGATAGAAGCACTGATTAGTAGCAAAACCTTGTTTTAGCTTTTGGATTTTTTTGTGCTGGATTTTTTTACGTGTAAATTTCCAATAACATGTCATTTCTATAAGATTTGTTTAAAATCATGTACCTCTTATTGGATGGTATAAAAATGCTACATATTTTGTAAACAAATCTGAGCAAAGTGTGTGTGCATATATTCTGTATATTCATATATGTATATTCTGTGTATATATACACTAGTGTGTATATATACATATATACACACACACGTATATATGTACACACATGCATATGTGTGTATATATATACACATATCTATATATCTATATATATATAAGTGTTTTCCAGGCTAGTGAAAACGATGTGGTGCATTGGCGTTTTCCTCCCCTGCCCCCCAAGAAAATAATGACAATTGCCTCTAAATGAGTGAATTAAAAGAGAGTCCATTGAAGCTGAATGGTGTGCCTTCCTGTGTAAGGAGCCTGGCCAGTGTTTGTTACTTTTGCTGTGGATATGTGAATTCAGAGCAGATAAGTATAAATCTTTAATTTTGGTATGTTTGTTTGAAGTGACAGGCCTGGTTGACACAGGTAACCTTGTTGTCATATATACCTAGACTGTGTAAGGCATTTGACTGGTAATGCATAATATTTTGACTGAAAACTAAAACAATACAAAAATCAACATGGCACACATTAAATGGATTAAAATGTGGCTAATTCATAGGTCTCAGTTGAATTTTAAATGCTGCTTAATTGAGTATATTTCGGGATCTTCTAGCAACCAGGTCTTGGCCTTGCTTTACTTAGCCTTATTAATAGGTTGAAAAGAAACAAAATCCATTTCTAACAAAGGTTGTAAATTCTAAGGAGAGCAGGCTTGTGAATGATGAAAGGAACAGTAGTAGCTCACTGATACAGACTGATCAGAATTACTTGGTATGCCAAGGGCAAGTAACCTATTTGCATTTTAATATAGCCAAACGTGTAGCATAACGTTACCCATCTAATAAATAACATTCAGGCCACAGGTGAAGGACTCCGTTTTGCAGAAGTGCTGCTGAAAGTCTGAGCATCATTCTACATCACCGCTGGAACACTACTTCCTAACATGTGTGGCTACTGTAACACTCACAGGTACAAAAATAAATCTTCAGTAGAAGTGGGGAATTGATACTAACTTTATAATGGCATCGGTGAAGCTTTACAGGAACACTCTCATTGTTGCTATCAGTCAGAAAGGGATAATAAAAAATTGGGAACAGCAAGGACTGTAAAAAGGTGGCAAATTCTGTTCATATGAGAAACGCGGCACTCTTAAACAGACACAAGGGTTATGTCCCCTGCTAGAAACATTGAAACCAGTATTTACTTTCCTAAAGGATGTGCTGGCTGCTCAAACAGGAGCTCTAACGTCTCTAGCTTCCACTTTGTGAAGGTCCCACTGTGTTCTGAATTTTGTGTGTTAAGCAGGAGGCAGCGTGGTCTCGTGTGTACACGATAGGCCAGGGAGCTGTTGGAGTTCTTGTGTTCTTCTGTCCCCAACCCAAAGGGGAGATAGAAAATGAAACACTGTTTTAAGGGCTTAGTATGTTCCTTTCCATCAGGCATTGTTAAATGGGTGTAGGCTAAAACTACGATTTAAATCAGGAAATACGAGGTACATTAAGAAGTGTTCTAGACAGCTAGACTGGCTGCACAGGCCAGAAATGTGTGCTGGATTTTAAACCACTGTCTGTTTAGAAGTGGTTTCTTGGAAGCCATCACACTAGTAAAGAGGTGGTTTCTTTCATTGCCTCTCTGAGAAAGATTTACATCATTTTTCTAGTACCCAACTACTTGCAAAGAAAATACTGCAGTGGTTGGGAGTGAGCTGGAGACAGCACGAAGTCCAGTGGCTCAGGCTTTTATTTGAGACTCTGGAGCCTCCATGGAAGCTGAAAGAAAACACAAAGGTATGCACTGATGCACAGTCTTTATAGTAGATACTGAAATGATGGAGATACCAGAGTTGCTAGAAGGGAAGGATATATGAATTCTCCACAGAGCTTTTGTCAAACCACGGGACTGGAGTTCCAATTTTGAGTAAACAGCATAAAGTTTAGAGGTATTTAAGTAAAATGAAAGCCTGGTGCCCACTGCTGCTCCGAGGTGTTGCTTTCTAAGAGGTATTTTACGTAATTCTTATTTGAAATACTTTACCAGTTGGATGAGTCCAAACAGTTCTATTTCCAAAAGTAGATGAGTACTTGCCAGTTCTGCTCAGAAGGTGCGCTGTTGGGTGCTTTTGAGATGGACAGTCTTGAGATGCATGGTTTTAAGCTCTGCCATCACCAAGTATAAATCAAATCACAAGTTTCTTTCCAAGGTAGCCTGAAATACTGTCTGCAGTGTGTGTGGTTTTTGGTCTCATTTAATACATACATGAGCACAGGCACACAATATGGGAAGATGTATTTGGTTCCCACCTGTGTGCCTACTGGTGTAGCAAAGAACCAGAGCTGCCATGGAAGATCTGTTCACATACCTGCAGTGGAATTATGTATGACTTGCATTCAGTGCTAAATGAGCAGACAAACCTCTGAAAGCCTGTGCTGCTTGAGGCAATTGCCTTACAGAGAACCTGATGACAGGTCATAGCATCACCTGAAGGTTGTAACTTCTGTGGTGGAATGACTGCACAGCTTGCTTGAGTGGTTGCATCTTGTCAGTGTGAGTGGTACCCGGAAATGCAATTCATAAGAAAGATGGACTGCAGCAGGTATTTTCTAGTTCTAGAACAAGTGAAGGGCAAAGTTCTAGGGAGGACTGCACAACTGCTTCTCTTTTCCAGGTGTAAAGACAAGATTCACCCTGCATTTTTTTGTAGGGCTTTTAATTTATTCAGCAATAGTGCTTATTTTTAGTAGTACAACAAAAAGAAAAAAATAACACAACAGGATCAGGAGAAGGTTTAAAGAAAAATAATCTGCCTCCCACTATCCAGAAGTTCACAAACTCAATCTGTCAAACTGATAAAATGCCTCTTCTGTTTCTGGGGTCCCCACAACCAGTTAGCAGGCAGTCCTGGGAAATAACATAGTTTAAAGCAGCCTTGATGCTTCCAATCTACATTTCCCTCCAAATGAACTGAAAGGAGGAAGAAAAATATTGTTTCCAGTTGCTGCAGGGTGTTGAGCATGAATAGGGTGCGGCTCTTGGGAGTTGCTCTTTGCAGGTATTGCTGGGTCTGCTGCTTCTAGAACTTGGGGCAGATGATCTTTAAGTGGGCTACTATGAAAGCACAGGTCATGATTTAAAGGTGAAAAATTGCAAATAAATCTAAATGTGGTTTGGCAAAAAACTGCTCTGCAGCAGAGAGCAGGAGTGCCTGACTGACTTTCTCATACTCATGTGCCTCTGAATAGTAAATCTGATAGCACTGGTTGAAGCTGTTGCTCCATATTTCTAAAAGTAGTTATCTCTGTTGCCTTTGCTTGGACATTCCCTACCAGCTCTGGTGTAAAGGGTTGTCATCTGTAGCACACTGGTTCTCTGGAACCACTGGTTTCGCTATCAATCTCCCTCCTCTTTTTATCAAAGGAAGCAGTTCTTCACAAAAAGTAATCCTTCACTTAAACAAATGCAGCCTGAATATACTGGACCTAGAGCAGGTAAGCAGACTTTCTAATAACTTATGGTCATTTTGATGATGTTGATGCAGGTCATACAATTCTTGACTAAAGAGCTTCCTGAATAATTGTTTTCTCTTGCACAAAGAGGAACATATGGAATATTTAAAGCACCCAGTAACATGAGAGTTCAGAACAAACATACACAAACGATGTGACTATATTCTTCCAGTGCCAAGAGGGACTCAGCTTTTCTTCTTACTGGGTGCTCCTGGTCTCTTCCTTTCCTCCTCTAAGGTTTAGCAGATGTGCTCTGAGTAGCTTCCTCTCTCCATAGTGCTTTCTTTTCTAAGTTTATGCTTGTAAGAGTTTCATGTCTTTTTACAGCCTACAACATAAAGACAAAGCAAGAGCAGGTATCATGTAGAGGACCATAGATATGAAACTTGAATCAACAGTTCACACAATATCTGTCCTATCCTTTTCAAGGCACGTTTCTGTCAGCTTTAATGCCAGGTGAGAAAGGGTTAAAAGAAAACATCCAGAGACTATTTTGGCTTAACCTCATTACTTCTCTAGGAATAAATTAAGCCCTTTTGTTAAGACACTAGAATATATATGGTCAGTATTTAATATTAATCTCTGGCCTTCAGAAGTCAGAGGTACTGGAAACAAATCATAAATGAAACATAGTAGATTCCTTCTGCTGTGAAAACAAGGATCCCAGAGGAGCTGTCGTCCTCTCTTTCTGGTGTTTGCATTCATACTACACCAGTATAACAGGAAAATGTTCTGGGAATTGTCAGTGCTCAATCTCTTATGGTAAAAAAACCTTTCCACTGTTTCGTTTCAGAGTGCTGCATCCTTTTCATTTTGATAGGCAAATACTGACAGAAATGTCACTTGACACTTCAGTAGCTCACAGAGCTGGGTTTGAGAGGCTTCTTACTAGTTTTAAGGTTTCTCTATGACACTTAGTGGTCAATAGAAAGAAAATCAACATTTTCATCAGAACTGCCTGAAAGGCAGCACACAACTAAGGTTCTGGCCATGTTGATCCTTTAAGCTGAGGGCTTTCTGCTTTCAGTCATCTGTAAAAGAAGGTAGTGAGCTCTGTTTCTGTTACCACTGTGCTTTTTATCCAAAGTAACTTGACAATAAGATGCACAGATTATATTCACATTCTTTGACTTGAATTCTAATGCTGCTGAGAAGCTTCACCTTGGCTTCAGTGCCAAAAAATGTTCCTTGCTTCTTTACAGAAATACCTCAACGTTAATAGCTCACCAGCTGTGTTGAAAAGCACATAAAATTAAAGCATGACTAGCCTTTGCTGCACGTGGAGTCTTAGACTTTATACTCACGCTCTTCATATGATGCAAATTAAATCATAGACCTAGTTCTGCCACATGTTGGATACCTTGCCAGGTTCTATGCAAGTGAAGGATGCTCAGCACCTAAAGGGTTTGGGAGCCTTTCTATGAAGTAGTGTTCCAATTCAACAAACATTAATAATCTGAGAAAACTTGTTCCATCCACACTAAAGTAAAACTATTTTCTGTGCCCTATTAAAGGGCACAGAATTACTGACCATCTCTTCACTGTTTAAAAACACTTCTGACAATTCTCATGTCTGTCTGTGGAGAAACATACTCATTTGCTATTCCCATTATATTGATTCTACGAGTGGTGCAGCGTGTAGACAGGCATTTGTAATAGGTCCGTACACTCACTGTATGGACCTCATTGGCCCAAGGAGCATTTACCTGCCCATCAGATCCTCACAACAGAAGGTGCTCTTTCCTTTTGACTTCTTGCAGCCCATCAGCAAAATCAAGGAGTTAAAACAGTGCAAGCACTGAGAAAAAAAGGACTTTTTCTCCCTCCTTTTAAAGGAAGCTTATGCAGTCTTAACAGTGACATCACCCTTTTGTGACTTGGGAATTAATCGATGAGGGTCACTTCTGGGGAACTGGGAGGACTTAGTTTTGCTCAGTGATAGAATTAAACCACAAACCCCAAACCAAAACAGTGCTAACAACCCATAGGAGAAACTGAGGAGTTTATGTAAAGACTGATTAGCACTCACCAGCCAAAAACTGTGCTTACCTGCTTCCCTCTAATCACCATGATTATGCATCCCACTATTGTCAAGGCAATCATCACATAGCTGAACTTCACACGCAGTGTGGTCTTTGCTGCTCTGATTGTATCAATCCTCAAGAAATAAAGGAACAGACTCACTCATTACCAGAGACACAAATAAGTCCTTTGGCTAATGGTTATTTGTTAAGAGACAGTATTGCTTTGCATTGCAGCCAAGTGATCTGGAAAAGGAGGAAGGCTGCAGTACTTAAGTACGCACATTCACTATGGAGAGGACAGGAAAGAGAGAGGGATGGTTTTACTAATATGATGTTTTTCTTAGTGTTAGGTCCCTCTCTGCTCATTACCACATTCCAGGATCAGCAAAGCCAGGGAGCACTGCACCCGTATTAGGACTGTGGTGTATTAACATTGTAAAACATGCATTTTCCCTCAATAGCAGAAGCAGGATAAAAAACATTTGTCAGCAAAGTTGGAACATCTTGGGCAGGGGGAGGCGTTGTCACAGCTTAGTAACCCTGAGATTCAAAATGGTTTTATTTATGATGCAGTCTGTTTTCCAGCAAGAAGGCTTCCTCCACTATGGGATTTGATACTACTAGAGATACACACTGGCTGCTGAATAAAACACTCCTGAGAAATGGAACAGGACTTGGGAAAAGACCAGTGGTTACCCCTTCCCTCCTGCTAGAGTAAAAGAGTCTGAAGGTAATGTGTTTTCCTAAGGAACTAAGGAGGCATGGAGGATTGAAAGCCTTCCAACAGCAGCTTTGGATTCCTTTAAATCTTTTTATTTCAGGGGGATTAATAGCCACACCAGTAGCTAAACTACTGCTTAGGGAAACCTGTTGCCTAGTCTGCTGTTAATTTTTAAAAACCAGAAACCTTCCACAAGAAGAGTTTCAGTTATTAAAGCCTTCAAATGTACATGTGATGAGTTAAAAAAAAAAAATCAGTTATTTTAAGTTAGAAACTTTAGAATTATCTTTAGATAATTCTACCCAAATGGTGGCTCAGTTACAGCAAATTTAAAGTTTCTCTTAGAAATACCAATGCAAGAAGAGCCAATGAAGCATAAAGCTTTTAGATGTACTCTCCACAATAACCAAAGACCTAGACCGTATGTATTTAATTCTTGCAGAATTTAGAGCAGTTGACTCCCTTCTCAAGGAGGTCTAATGTTTTCATGATTGAATTTAGCATATTATAAAATTACAGATGAGTAGAAAAGCATCAACATAATGTGATAATAAATGCATCAAACTAGGTAACTATTCACCAAAACTAACATGAGTGAATATGGAATATTTTACATTTTGACCCTTATATTTGAAGGGAAAAAGTCACTGAAGGATCCATGATAGTTTAACATGGTAAATCACAGAGGACCTGAGAACTGAAGAGAGTTTTGTTCTTGTTTTTGAAGAAGAGAGGAAGAATGATTTGATCACTGCTCCAAAGTACTGATACAAGATTTCTGATGACAGGGAACATGACCATCTACCATGAAACCAAGAGTTAAATTTAGCTTCCATGCTGGTTTTGCTAATAATCTGCTATGAACAAATCGGGCACAAGGTGCAAAGAAGCTGAAATGCACAGAAGTAGGATTGAAAAGCTTTCCTAGTTACTTTTTGAAGTACCTTAGATGTGTTAGAATATACAAGAGGAAAAGGTAGTTATCTGAACACAATTTGCATTTTATATCAACTCAGTGGCTAAGATTAACATTTGTTTAATAAATGAGTTATTTCTTGCAAGATTCCTAAGTTCTATCACAAGCCCTTACAATCCACTCTTAGCTCAGAATGGGAAAGAAAGCTTTTGTGCTTTTCTAGTTCTCAGTTGTCTCCTCAGCTTTGGCTGAACTCTTTGCCTAAAGGAAAACCAGAATTCCCTATGCACTCACAAAAATGGTCAGCTTTTATCAGAAGATGGTTTGTCCTTTCAAGAAACCATTGAAAGGACTTTCAATCACCGTGCTGTTTTCTTAAAAACCCTCATAACAAGTCTCTGGTGGGCAAAACCAGATGAATGGGCAATAGATTAAGTTGTAATAATTTATGCCTTTATGTATTTCGAATGTAATTGTAAGAAAAGTGACTCAATACAAAATGGAAGGATTCATTTTTAACAATATTTGTCCCTTGTGATACACTTACAAAAAAACTTGGACACACGGGTAGATTTTCAATTCCCATATAGTGTATCCAAACAAATAGAGTATCTTAGAGGGCAGCTACACTGTTTAGTTCCCCAAGTAGTACAAGATTTACTGTATATTTAAAAGCATTTCAAGCATGTTTTAAATGGTAACTATACTACCACCACCCGTTGTTAAGTTTGATCTTCATTTTAGATAGGCAAACTAGAACATCCAGGTTTATTTTCTACTTTTCACACAGGGCAAAACATTGACACAGCTCCACCAGCAACAGAAATATTGACTATACATATTTTTTTGTTAGGGAGCCTTTCTGCTGTCTGTTAGTTTAAATTCCAAGAGTGAACAAAGCTGGCCCCTGCCCTCTAGATGTTCATCCATAAAGATTTTAAATGAGTTTCAGTTCTTTTAAAACTATGTCATGAAAATTTTGCACAAGGGGAGACTGATGTATGAAAAACCTCAGAAAGTTTTTTGGATTGGGAGCGAAGAGTAAGAATTTGCTGATTGTGATGTTCTTCTAGGGAAACAAATGATAAGTGCTGGTCATACTTTCAGGAAAAAAAGAAATCAAAAGGGATAGATTATCTCAGCAATACAGAATTGCTCAGGTCACCTCATCTACAAGACAATAAACCAAACAGAGCAGTGCAAGATTTCTCAGCTGTGAAAACCCATTCCATTTAAGAAAAAGTTTTACTGGGGAGTTGCATTCAAGTAACTTATTCCTGCATGGACAATGTCTCTTTTACAGCTTCAAAACTGGCACTTACGAGACAGTCTCTGGTATATCCTCTGGTTTTTTGAAATGGCCTGCCCACAACAAAAATCTTTTGTCCCAGTCTGTAGGCTTGTGTCCAGGCACCCTCAAAGTAGACTGACCTAAAAGAACCCCAACAAAACGCACAAACAAAAACAAAACACTGCTAAAACCAACAGTCAGAGAAGCTGAATCGACACAGCTGTAATGAAACCGGTTAGGGTGAGCAATGCAGAAGTTTGACTGCTAGAGTTGGTTAGGGAACAAGAAGTATATCAGAGTCAGATTAACAAACCTGTACATAGGGATTAAACTGAAGCCACGTAAGGAAAATCAAATCTTGCCGAAGACTTAAGTATTTGCATCTTTAAATTTGCAGAACTTGCTCCAATGTTTAAGCTTCCTAAGTTGCTGTGATAGTATAGTTTTACCATTACATTAGTTTAAAAAAATAAGAATAAACCAAATGGAACTGCTACAGAAAAGCAGATATGCTGCACTATTACGTCACAGAATGTTAACTTTTCCAGGCAGTGTAAGATTTTATCTTATCTGGAGGCATAAACAAACAGATAACCATAAGCAGAGATCAGACCCTTAATTTTCAGCTCAGTTTTTCAAACTCCACATATATAAATACTCACAATAGGGGAAAGTTCCCATGCATAACATACCATTAAAATCTAGCAAACGAAGTGCAAAGATGGACAGCTTTTTTTTTTTTTAAACAAACAATGGGAGGTATCCTGAATGGATGTGTGCTGCCTCATGGCTTCATGAATTATCTAGGAAGTAGGGTGGATATGGTTTGCTGACAGCACTGAGTTATTCAGAAAGAAGAGTGCTATGTGCGAAGAGCTGCAGGGCTTCAGAATCCCAAGTCGGTGAGATGGCCAGTGAAAGCCCATCTGTGTAAACAGGAAAGAATTCCAGTTGCCACACAAAGGACAGACTCTAACCTAACCATTATTGCTGAGGAGCAAGTCCTCAGGGTTTCACAGAGTTTGTGGCATAATGTTCAGTAACAGAAAGGGAAACAGCATTACTAGCAATGATGAGGAACACAAATACAAAAGCAGTAATATGCCATTGTATAAAACCACAACTCCAGCATTTTGAAAAGCATGTAAAGTACAGATCCCTCATCTCGGAAACAGTTGAAATAGAACTGGCAGAAAGAAAACTGGGAAGGACTACAGGTAGGGAATGGCTACCGTGTAAGAAACTGTATCATAGAATGAGACTGTTTGGCTCGGAAAAGCTGTAATTGAAGCTCCCTTCAGCACAACAGAGGGCGCCAGAGTCTTAAGTGACATTAACAGCGTGGGTTATAACGACCAGGACCTGCTTTGGAAGGGGTACTGAATAAAGGAACTTCACGCTGGAAAAAGCACACATTGGGTTCAACAAACAAATACATGATTATATGTGTTTTTTCACAGCATGGTTCAGCTGAGGAATTCCTTCTCAGAGAATGTGGATGCTAAAAATACATCTTGCTTAAGAAGACTGGGCAAATTTATGAAAGAAAAAAAAAAATGCAAGAAAGACCATTAAACACAAAAATGCCACCTCTGGGACAGTAGTCCAGGGGTGAAACACTATCTTTGCCCTCTTCCTAAAGTCCTCCTTAGATCCTTGCTATTGCTTATTGTTCCTGTTAGTCTTCACAAAAATGCAAGCGACCTCCTTTACTGGCCAGTCCTGGAGACATCACACTGCTAAGGAGACCTTTGGTTTTACCCAGTACAGTTGCATTATGTTTTTAACATAGGAATATGCAAAATGCTTCAGACTTGTACGCTCCTTTTGTCCAGCATCAGCAGGCCATGAAGGGAGCCTGTTTTACAGGAAGTCCAATTAGAGCATCAGAACTGCCCCATACATAGGGAAAAAATGTTTAACGGCCTGAGCTTTACCTGACCAACTCCACCCTTACAAATGAACCAAGCTCATGATTCAGGCCTACTCTGGCAGGGCAGGCACAATTTTATAAACAGCTGGAGCTGGTTGTACTGTGAACACCCGCAGAAGCATTTTAGCTCATGTGATGTTCCTGAACACTAATAGTTTACTTTGGGGTTGAAGAAGCTCTTCTAGAACGCAACGGAAGAGCCTCAATGTAGGATTGCATGTCAGGTAAGATACTAGTGACCTGCTACAAAGCAAAAGCTGTGTCATTCTCACAAGCAGAAATACTGACCCCTGGCTTTGTTAAAAAACAAGGTTTTGTTGCTAAATTTAATGCTCAGTTTTTCAGTCTAGCGATCAGAATTCCCTCCCACAAAACCAGGGATATTAGCATCTATGTCAGTCCAATTCCTGATCTGATGATTGCAGTGTGGATATGTGAGTATATTATATCATGAAACATAGCGTGATTGTTACTAAAAACTCTTACTTTTTGGCTGATGTTGACCTTCTTCCTGGGGTTTAATGCAAACCCTTCTGCTTATATTTGGATCCATTCCTTTTGCCATCCTCAGAATTGAGGGAGTATTTCTTCCCAGCAGTTTAACAGCCCCACCTGGAGGAGAAAGCGGAGGAAGCAAAGAGGCCAACTCTAACTCAGTATAGTAGAAAGAATATTAGCTTTTAAATTGAAGTGTTTTAAGTTTTTTCTATTATTATGCAAGAAAGTGGAGCTTTAGTTGTAACAGAGCCTGCCAAAGAAACTAAAGGTTGCCTATAGGCTCTGAGTTAGGCTTGTCCATTAACTTTAGTGAGAAAAATGGGAATAGAAGATCACAGCCTACAGTTCCTAAAACACAACACACACCACAATTTCAAGGAAGGCATCTATTCAGATACACTTTGAACGGGGCTATTTCCAGGACTGCATACCAGCGTTACACAAAAACCTTGTCACATCCCAAAAGCAAGTCGCAGGCTTGACAGAGTCAAAAAAAGCCATTAAAAAGCAGAATATTGCCATACTGAGGCACCTAGTTTGGAATGTATTAGCAATAGAAGAGGGCACCTTTATATGCAAGTTTTTAATTCATTAAAATATTGGGGGGAAAAAAAACCCTCAGAGGAAGAAAAAAAACCACCCAAAACCAAACCAAACCCCAAAGTCAAACAAAAACCACACACACAACACCGCCAAAACCAAACAAGAAACCAAACAAAACCCACCCCAACTCTGAAAGGCGAAAGAGCATTTCTACACATAGAAATTTAGTCTTTCCTTTATGCTGGCTGAAAATGTCTCTCCTATGAGAAAGAGCCGCCCTTCATTTTTCAGGCATAATACATTCCAGCGCTGCAAAGTTTACATTTATAGGCGGGCAACCCCAACCAAACGCTTTCCAAGGTTTCCAGAGAAGGAAGGAAAGGTGCAAATCCATTCCTTTCATGTTCTTTAGTCAGCCTGGGGGCCGCCAGCCCCACACACAGTCTCCAAAGCTTCGCTTCGCTTCGCTTCTCCCCCCGTCGCACCACCTGCAGCTGGGCCGGGGCCGCCCGGAGGATCCCCGCACCGAGCCGGGCACCTCCGGGCTGACAACACCGCTGACGGCCC